TGTCTGAATAGAAGTGCTCCAGCCCTCTGATCATCCATCCTCCTCCTCTGGACCCACTCAAACAAGTCCACATCCTTCTTGTGCTGAGGACTCCAAAGCTGGACACAGTATTCCAGATGGGGTCTCACAAGAGCTGAGTAGAGGGGGGAGAATCACCGTCTTTGACCTGCTGACCACACTTCTTTTGATGCAGTCCAGGATGTGGTTGGCCTCCTGGGCTATGAGCGCACAATTGCCAACTGCTGTTGAGCTTCTCATTCACCCCCAAGTCCTTCTCCTCAGGGCTGTCCTCAATCCATTCTCTGCCAAGCCTGTGTTTGTGCATAGGACTGCCCTGGCCCAGGTGCAGGACCTTGCACTTGGCCTGGTTGAAGTTAACGAGGTTGATGTGGGCCCACCTCTCAATCCTGTCTGGGTCCCTCTGGATGCTGTCCCTCTCCTCCAGCATGTCGACTGCTCCACACAGCTTGGTGTCTTTGGCAAGCCTGCTGAGGGTGTACTCAATCCTACTGGTCCATGTCATTGATGAAGATACTAAACAGTACTGGTCCCAATACAGACCCCAGAGAAACACTAGTTGTAGATCTCTGTCTGGACATCAAGCTGTTGACCACTACCCTCTGGGTGCAACCATCCAACCAATTCCTCATCCACCCATCAAATCCATATCTCTCCAGTTTAAAGAGAAGGATTTTGTGGGGGACTGTGTCAAAGTCCTTAGAAATGTCCAAATAGATGATATCCTGTCCTGGTTTCAGGTAAAACAGAATCAATTTTCTTTTCAGTAATTTTACTTTTCAGTTAAACCCCTTCTAACTCTCTGAAATTAATGGCACATTCTTCAGACAGTGTCTGCTACCAGAGTGACAAGGCATGATGTTTAATACCAAGGAGTGGTATGCAGAGAGGGTCTTGCTTATGGTTATTACTATAACAGCTAACTTTGTGTGCCATGTTGGGAGGGGTGGAAGTGGAAAAGCGTAGAGGGGTTGCACCTGAAGGGGAGGAGCAGACAGGGCAGGTGACCCAAAACTGATCAATGGGGTATTCCATCCTATTTGCATTGTGCTCAATATAAAAGAGTCAGCCTCTCTCTTCATTGGCCTGTGTCTGAGGGGGACTCTGTTTGTCTGCCTTTTATTCTGATCTGTGTTCCAGAATCCAGTTCCTATCTGTTGCTGAGTCCAGTCTGGGACTTTCCCAGCTGGTGATGTGATTGTGATCCTGGGAGCTTGATATAGTTTTGTATATATTGTATATATTTCATCATATTCATACTAATAATATTATCTTTTTGTTATATTTCATTGAAGTACTTCAGTTTCTTTTTCAACCTATAAGTTCTCTTTTCCTCTCATTCTCTCTCCTCTCATCTGAAGGGAAATGCTCGCTCTTCTCTGAAGGTAGAGAAGTCAGAGAGTGCATCTGCCATTCATTCAGTGGCCAGTCCAGCCCAAACCATGACACATCTGTAGTTCTTCCACTGTCCACTGATGTAGTCACGCCATCATAGAAGGTAACTGGGTTGGTCAAGCAGGACTTGCCCTTGGTGAAGTCATCCTGGTTGTCTTGAATCACCTCTGTGTCCTCCATGTACCTTAGCATAGCTTCTAGGAGGACCTATTCCATTGTCTTCCAAAGCATAGAGGTGAGAAAGACAGACTGGTTGTTCCCAGGGTCCTCCATTCTACCCTTTTTTAAAAATGGGGGCAATGTTTCTCTTTTTCCAGTTACTGGGGACTTCACCTGACTGCCATGACTTTTCAAATATTATGGGGTGTAGCTTGGCACAACTACATCAGCAAATTCCCTCAGGACTCTGGCATGCATCTCATCAGGTCCCATAGACTTCTGTATATTCAGGTTCTTCAGGTGGTCTTGAGCCTGATCTTCTCATACAGTAGGAGGGACTTTGCTCCCCTGGTCCCTGCCTTGTGGTCTATCCACTTGAAGTGTGGGATCCTTGAGAGATTAAGATCCTTGAAGTTACTTAGCAGAGAAAACTGAACATGAGGTCTGAAGAACATGGAAAAGAACTCTCGGTACATCAGTGAAACCTGGTATGGGTTCTTCAATTAAGAGTTTCATAGAAAGCATCACATTTCCCTTGAAGTATGTGTTGGCATCTTTGGAATCATGAAAGTCATCTTAACAGCCAAATATGTTTGCTTGACTAAAGTAGCTTTTTTTTTTTTTTTTTTTGGAAAGCACTAAGAGCTGTATTCCTCAAAAAAGGCTTAAAGAATTGCATACTAAGTTGAAGAAAAAAGGCAAATATCTCCCATGTGAATTTGTTGAGTCCTGGATTATATATCACCCTATTCCTGGTACTTGCATATTACCATTACATGGAATTTTAATTTCATTTTTATGTACAGACAATAAGATTACGATGTTCCTGTTGCTATTTTGGTAAAACTTTTATGCTGCTTTAATTAGATGAAATGCTCAGCAGTATCAGTATGGTAAAATCTTTTGGTTAGGATGCCTTATACATTTGGGGACTGAAGTTTTGGAAATTTCTGTTGAGAAATAAATGGCCAGAGGCCTTTAAGAACAGGCTAGAAAAGCAGGAATTGGCTGCCCTGCTTCTTGCGGGGTGGGCAGATAAGTGAGGTTGTCTTCTCAGGGTGCTTTCTAGGGCTGCAATTCTCTCAACTAATGAAAAATAATGCATATCCCTAATTTATTTAACTGAAATCAGCAGTAGTCAGCTAAACTGGTGATGTGGATCTGCATGTTGATCCACGTACAGATGAGTCAATAGCCGGAAAGCAAGTAGGATGTTACTGGTTATGTTAAAATCTGACTACTTCTGAATACAGCTGGAGAACTATAAATACTTAACGTCTTAATTCAGCTTTGTTCCTTAGCAATCATCTCTCCTTCCTCTGAAACACAGCAGTAGAAGTTAAGTTTAATAATTAAAATTTTAGAATTTATTGTAAGTTTTGCTTTTCATTTCATCCACAGGTACAGCTTTGTTAGTGTCATCTTTCATTCTTTTCAAACAGTTTTTTTAGGGGAGCAAAAAATATGGTGGCAGTTAGAAAATTGAAGTCAGATTTAGATCTCAGTAAATTGCCCTTGATTTATACCATTGTAATGGACATCAGAAACCAGCTTGTATACAACAGAACAGTAATAGCCACTTTATCGATGTAACTGTTGTACAAGCAGAGGTAAAGCTTCAGTACACTGGAGAAATGCCAATTTTCCAAAGGAAAAAAATGTTTCTTTCAAAATAAAGTATGAATTTTCATAGTAAACAAACAAAATACCAACTTTTCCATCTGAAAGTAATGGAGAAGGTGAGGAGATAATGAAAATACAGAGGTTTCATAGCAACCCAGTTAAGAATTTTATTTTCTTTCTGTGTTTTCACACTTCATCAGCATTAGCTGCAAGTGCTGTCAACCTCCATAGGAATCTAATGGAAAAGGAGTAAAAAGTCAAAGAGTGCTTTCATTTAGAGTTTTGTATCCACCTGAAACTAAAACGTTGCATTGTTGCTATAGGTCACGCTTTGAGGAAGTTGTGCAGAACCTGTTAGCAGAACTGCTTTTGGATATGATAGCAAAAGTCATACTTGACTTACAAAACGTGCGTGCTTATCAGGAAGTTGGCACTTTCATTTCTCCATTTTTATTCCATGTACTTCCAAGTAGAATTACACAGGAGTGAATGGTTGGATTATGTGGACATGCCTTTGACTTCTTGGTAGAGTTTGGCTCAGTGTTTTGTTGTAGTTGGTTTGTTTGCTGACAAAGAGCACTTGGGAGCATCCTCTGTGGGTCTGTCTTTCAACATAAGGCTTTAAATTCTATTTTTGTGTGCTCTGTGACCCTGGTTTGAAAACTAGTAGAATTATTAATAGAATAATTTCTATCTATTTGAGCAGGCTTTAGCTCAGACTGCTGTGTAGCCATGAAAGATACAGTTAAGAGTGAGAGTTACTCAAATGTCCTCTTTATGCTGTTGCCAGCTCTTCTCAGCATTGCATGACTGCCACATGGCAGATACAGCTGCATTTAGGTGTGCTGCATCTACAGAGTTTATGAATGTTCTTTGACGTCTGCTTGGAGAAAGGTGATGATCAGAATCTCTGTATCTATAGTCTTAGATAAAGCAAACCTCTTAAATCTCAGAATTGGTCAGTTTCTGTCTTGGCAAATTGAGAGTATTGCCGCATTTGAGGCGGAGATATTTTCTAGGATTACAAAACCTAACAAATAAAAAAAATCATAAATACTTGGATTCCTGGACAGAAATCTCGATATTTTGGGATATTTTTGACAAAAACATGAATCAGTTATTTTTTTGGTTGTGCTAAACACCACAGGTGTTACACCTTGAGTTTTTCTCCTAAGAGGAGTAATTACTCAAGACACTAGAAATTCACATGTTCTGATCTCCCAGTCTGGTTGCCAGAGTATTCGAATAGGATGCAAGTGTCTGCTCCAACTCTGTACATAAGGTCAATGCAATTGCATGCATGCTTTAAAGAACAGCTTTTTGGCAAATAGATATGAACTGATTTTCGTTCTAGGACCTCAAGCCTGAGAATTGCTCAGCAAGCCATTTATCTGTATGGTTTTCAAGGACTTGGCCAAAATACAACTAATGTTCTAAGATGTCTTTCTCAAAGAATTTTTACACTGAAATGTCAAAGAAGCTGTTGGACTGTAAATATTTAAGCAATTCCAATCTATCAATATATTTTAGGGATTTCTTTCTTTCTTTTATATCTTCCTTGAATACCTTTTTTTGCCGCAAGTTATGATTAAAAGCTGTAGAAGTTTATAGAAATTACACATTACTCAGAAGTAGAGAAATGGCCCTGCTGCCTGTGGCCTCTTTCCCATAAGCTTGTGAGTTTTATCCCCAATTCCTTTGCTGGAGACCATCGCCTCCCGAGTGGTTAAATGTCTGCAGTAAGCATCTTTAACACAATGAACAGATGTGTGTAATAACCACCTAATGTTTTGCTAGGTTTTGCAATGGAACAGGTATGGTTACTGCTCCTGCTGACGATTAAAGTGCTTTCAGTGACTGCTCAGTTCAATGGATACAACTGTGATGCTAACCTCCATAGCAGGTTTCCTGGTAAGTGTTTAATAGACTTTTTTTTTTCTAATGGCTTCTTTATTGTCTTGGTTCAAAGCAGGGCTTATTTTTAAATACAGAGCTTTAAATCTGAAGCCTGGGGGTAGCACTCAGCATTAAGTAGGTGTTAACTATCTTGGTGACAATGGAACGCCTCTAACATTGCACTTCTTAATTGCACAATGGGTCAAATTCAGCCTAGTACTAATGAATGCAACTCTCCTCACATCGGTGGGGTTTGACCTGCTTTTGCCAGAGCTCTATCCTTTCCAAGAAACTCACCAGAGGTCACCTTGTTGTAAATGTTCTCTATAGATTTAAGAGTCTGAAACTTCTAACTGGGTTTTCTTTCATGTTTTATCTGAGTAAGAGAATATAATTATGTTCTTTCAGTGAAATAATAAAAAAAATCTATTTTTGAGCAAAATGAAGTTGATGGTAAGATTTAGTACCTCATTTGAACATTAAGCGCTTGGTTAGGGACAGGTGAAGTAATGGGATGTATCTTTGTATGATGTACACTCATGCCTCTGAAAAAATGGGAATGAAGTAATTTTGGGGACATCAGATGTCTAGAGTTAATATAATGAGAAATAGAAATGAAATTTCAGTCTTAGTAATGTGTATCAGGGTTTCTCAGCTAAAGAATGCTTTTAGCCTGTTACATTTCTTATCCTTCCTGCCCCAGTTGTTTCTTGGACAAAATGATAATAATAAAAAGGCTGTGAATACTGGCTTGCTCACATCTTGTGTTTGAGGTAGCAATTGAATTGAACAGTATAGTGATGATCTCTCGGTATAGTATTACACTGTAATACCTTTCAGTGTTGTTGCTTTCTGAATAATAACAGTTTTGATTTATTTTTTTTTTCCAGGAAGGATCAGCTCTTTTATTAAACTTAAGTAATCAGAAATCCTACAGTCTGTTTGTTTCTTGTGTTACCACCACACTACTAGGTGCTTTTTTGACATAAAGACAGTGGGTTTGATCCTTTTTCACTTAATCGATGTGAACATGAAGAGCAGAGAAATAAGGCATGCAAAGATCAAATATGTTGTCTCCATCCCTGAAAAAAAACAATCACTGTGTAACTGAGTATTCCCCTTCTTAGATAAAACTTTTACAGGCTTGCGTCAAAAGCGTGGGTGAATTGTACCCACCTGCCTCAGATCTACCTTTTGTAGTTTTTCATGGTAATAGGGTTTTTCTGTTTCAGGCTTCTTGAGAGGATTGCAACAGCAAGAGGGAAGTTTGGATTCCTCTTTCTGTGCTTTTTAAATATTTCTCTAGCCATTATTTTGCACCAGCCCTTTGCCAAGGTTTTATATTTGCAATGTGATATCCGTGAATTGAGTCCAGCTCATATTGTGGGTGTTTAGGGGCCTCTTGCAGTTCTGCCTCATAAAAAAGGGTCATATCAGATTCCATTTCTGCCAAATCTCAGGGAGTCAGGAGAAAATCTGTTTAGGTTACAAGTAAACACTTTGTTGTTTGGTGTGTTTTTTTTTTTTTTTTAAAGTAAATGCTAATCACTCTGCACTGCCCATAGGAGCTGAGAGTAGTCCTGGTCTTTCTTGTTTGTGATCTCAGGCAGTAAATATTCTAAGGTTGGAATTTAATCAACAGTCTTAGTGCTGATTTTGAGAGCTAGGAAAGAAAAATAATTCTGCTTGATAGTAATGCATTTGAGTTGGAGGTGAAAAACAGAAGACCCCTTTCCCCCCCCCAGATTTCACAGGTATTATTTTCAGTATGCAGAATGGACTGCTATGTAATAGTCTGGGGCTAGTGGAGCTGAGTGAGGCTGCTGGAACTGTTTTCTGTGTTCAAGAACCCCAGAAGATAGGTGAGAGAGCCTCTGCAGGGAGAAGGGGCTTGCCCTAGCTATGCTTGCTTCCCCAGTGCTAGGCTCAGGCTGTGGCTTTGAGGGTGCTGGCGTCACTGCTTTTAGAGTTCAAATATAAGGGTGGGGGAGTAAGAGAGAGAGGTGTCAAAAAGAAAAATGTTTCAAAACAATCACCCTCCAGGATGAGATGCTACTCACAGATCCTGGTCATGGATAGGACTTTCTTCCTGTTCCATATTTGTTCCACACAAGACGTCTTCATTGTTGACAGCTAAAATTCTAAACGTGGGGTAAGAATGAACTTTTTTGCTGGGGTCTGTGGTGTGCAGATACCAGAGAAGCCATTGGGTTTTGAAGTTGTCTGCTCTTTTTCTTTAAATGCTGTGAAGAACAGAAGTTGTTTTCGGCAAAGATGAGAAATTAAACCTTCCTAAAGGAACCTTGGAGCTCATCCATTTTTCATTTATTTGTGCTTTTATCATTCGTTGCTTAGGTGACTCTTGCATAGGGATGGTGCTGCATAAATAGGATAAATAATCAGGCAGGTCTTTTGTTTCTGCAGTTTGTGGGTTTGTTTTAGAGTGTAGGTATGCAATAGTCAGCAGGGATGAAGAAAAACCCCAATATTTGGTAGATTGAAAATTCTGTGACGTCTTATACCAAAAGCAAGATGTGTTCTAGAGGGTATGTAACAAGCTCAGGTCCTGCCATCCTTTAGAGAGTTGCCTAGAGAAAAAAGCTTTAGTTTTGCATTGCAATCGAGCATAGATTTTAAAGGCTTTTGGGGGATGGAGCCATAGCAGTCTGGCTGTCTTCAGATAGGAAACGCACAATTTTGATTCAGGGGGCTCTTGCTGTAAGTACGTACTGAGAACTTAGTAGAAGCTAAGCAAAATATTGCAGCTTTTTCACATACACTATGCATTTTAATTCACTGTCAAAGCATTGATTTGATTAAAGAGGAGGCTTATGCGGAGAAGTTGGTTTTGAACTATAAATGTCTTTGCATGCCTCTTCTGGTGGAATGACTTTCATCAACGATGTTCTGTGGCAAACTCTTGTCCTCTGCAGGTTTTTCACTGTCTATTCTGGGGTCAGTCTTGTCAATGTGTGGAAGGGTACCAGAGCAGAAGCAGACGGTGGAGCTGTCAGCATTTGGCGCATGTTGCTATGGGTCTGTCCTTTATTCAGGACGATCTCTGCTACTGTAGTATCTATGTACCTCTTGAGCTTTCCTCTGTTTTGCGTGTGACACCCCTGTGAGTACTGTTGACTATATGTAGTTTGTGTGATTTGAGTCAGAAAGAGGCCAAGTGCTTTTCCTGTATGGAAACTCTGTGACAAAGAGGTCATTACATTTAAGGTTCCATCAGCTGGGTGACCTAACCTTCAAACCATTGCTCCTTTCATAGCACAAAGGTTGTTTTTGTCCTGTATGGTCTCATTTCCCTTAGTGTCGAATAAGAATTTTGCAAGTGGTAATGGTACCTTAACAGGTAAAGTAATATCCTGCTTTTTAAAAGGCTTGAAGTGAGTTATAAAATTAACTGAGCTACTTTATATTACATCCTGCAATTTGTTACAATCTGACTGTTTGTGCATTGTTCCAAATAAGCGTTAAGATGCACTCTATTTGCCTTTTTGTACTGTTCCCTCTACCTTAGTATATCCATTAAATGGATCGTAACAGTCTTCATGTAGTGAATACCAAGGCGTGCTTCTTGATCTTTGTATGTTATGTTAGTGTAATTATGAATATGTACAATCCAGGAGAATTTTATGCCAAATTACTTCAACTCTTGTCTTGCCTCCATACCTTTCTGCCCAAATTTACACCCAGTGAGTAACATTTATCACCACATTAGCTCAAGACTGAGTCTAGCCTGTTATTTCCTGCACTTGATTGTTTTGGCTTTAAAGCCACCATTAAAGCTGTCTAAATTAAACTGCATGTGCTCCTGTACCATGGGGGAAGAGCTAGTTCATTGTAATGGAGATTTCATTTCCTCTCTGTTGTGACAATGCAATGAAACAATTCATTTCAGCAGGCTTAATGGTATAGTATTGACTGAAGTTGTTCTGCAATTTTTAATAGCACTTAATCTTTAAGCAGATTTAATAAACAGGTTGTTATATAAAGGAGTAATGTCTGTGTTGAACACGATGCAGTATGTCTTTTTGTAAAGCACTAGGGGAAAATATCAAAATAGCCACCCCAATCATCTAGAGGCAGAGAAGATCTTATAGAAAAACTGTTATCGCTCTAAAGGCGAAACAAACTGTTGCTTATGCCTATATCCTAACCTGATGCTTTTCCATTCATGTACATAAAAATCTTCAGAACTTTTGAATAAAAGGTCAAATTCATCTGAGAAGGTTTTTGGGTGTTCAAAAATTGATCAGTTGTAACATTGTTTTCTAGGTCTTTTGTATTGTCATAATGTACAGAATGAAAGGTTGCAAGACGCTTTGTAGTATTGATCGTTGTCTTTCAAGAGCCAACTGATTCTTCATTAAAGCTCTAAAGTTGATGGTTCTTAAAAAACAAACAAACCAACTTTAAAGATATGATAATAAATTGCTCTGATAAGCTGTTGATTGTACTTCAAAGTCTGCACAGCCTGAAACTGTGGTCTCATACAAAGTGGACTCCAGACAACCTCAGACAAACATACCTGACTTCCATGCCAGAGTGGGCTGGAAGGCAGATCTCGGCCTCCTGAGTTTCTCAAAATAGCTGGAAATTTCTGTTCCAGAAAGGGCTGTTGAATCAGACTCCAAATATTTAACCACTTGCTGTTTGCCACTCCATTGCAGTGCTTCCGTTTATGAATGTGCTACTGAATTGTTTGCTGGGGAATTCTGGAATAATGGTTTTGTTGTGTGGTAGACTATTACCATATTCATTATTGTTTTCTCTTTAGTGAAGTTGTAGAGTCAAATCTGTTCTTCAGAATAATGTAATTCTGACCTTTATATTCCAATATTTTGCTGTGACTGGTGTCTAAAAATTGATTTGATCAGCAGTTACAACATTAGACTAACTGCTACAATAATTATATGGAGATTAGTTGAAATACATCTTCTTACGATGTCTTTCCCTGTATTTTTCTTGCAGCTGAACGAGATATCAATGTTTTCTGTGGAGTACAGACAATTACTATGAAGATAAATTTTTGCACAGTTCTTTTCTCTGGTTATTCTGAGACAGATCTGGCACTGAATGGGAAACATGGGGATGCCCATTGCAGGGGTTTCATCAATAACAACACCTTTCCAGCAGTGGTTATTTTCATCATCAATCTGAGTACTTTGGAATCCTGTGGAAACACTTTAGTGGTAAGACAAGGTCAAAGTGAAATTGTAGCATGGCTGTTTATGCATAGGATCAAGTGAATGGCCTTGACAGCATTGTATCTTTTACAGATAATGTTTACATTGTCTTGCCCAGCTAGCAATATATTGCATACATCAAAGAAAACCAGAGAAAGTCGGTAACTTATAATCTTGACTACTACTGAGAAAATGTGGTGGGACACACATTTATCCTCTGTTGAGAAAGTATATTTTTCATTTTAATATTTTTTCCAGTGGAAAAAATAGATTTTTTCCAAGCCTTTTTTAAAAATTTTGCTGAACATACCTTAAATTTTGCTGAAACTTTTCAAATATCCACTTGGAAAATGAAAGTAAAATATTTTTAAGAGTGGATTAGATAGAGGAGTTATAGTCTGGTTATCTACTTGTGTACTCTCATGTGAGAGGGGCTTGCTGACTGACTGATCCTATATGTTCTGCAATAAGGCAGTGGCTGAATGTCTTGGGGTGATAGTCTGGCCAGAAGGCCCAACCCATAGTAAATGCTTCTGCTAGCAGTGCCTTGAGGTCTTGTACTGCCTTGGAAGATCTCAGCTCAATATGGAACTGTCTAGCAAAAAAATGAAGTTTTCAAGCAAATTTTGAATGTTTGACACATGCACACAGAAAAGGCTATCTGTCCTATGCACTCAATTCACAATGAAAGTCAAGATGTGGGACTGAAGGTCAGACTTGTATGTTCAGCTGTGATCTCTTAGTGTACAGCCACTCTGTACTATTGTACAGACTGTGACTCTGTGACTGTGACTCTGTGACTACGTTTTATGTTGCTGTTTCAAACATGGATAATGCACATCTTTGTACAGCTAATGACTAAATCTAAACCTTAGCTGTCAGTGAGATTTTTGGCACCAGAATCCGATCCAGGAGCTGACTTTGAAGTCTATTTTGTACCGGTCTAATTTCATTTTCTTCAATGAAGCTATCTCCCTCTGAATGAGGGGAGGAAGGGAAGTCAGGTCTCAAACGTTCTAAACCAAGGGAGAGGAGAGTTGTACAGTTTGTGTGTATATCACACTGCACAAGGGCTGATGACTTGTATCAAAGTATCTATGAATAACTTACAAAACGTGTACAAATATTATTTTTAAGACCTATTCTGTCTGGAATTCAGACTTGCACTTGATAGCTGTCAGTTTTTATAACAAACCCCCTGTTTTCTATTGCTGCTAATTTTGTGAAACTGGGCTGAAATGTTCTATGTGCTCTGCCACCTATTTGCCTAAGGCTGAGTTTTGTTTTAAAAAAATCAAAAAACAATTCAGCAAGTTCAAGGTGCTTTTTTTCCCCCCATTTTCTCTGAAAAGCTATAGCACCTCCATGACTTGCAGTAGAAGAATTTGCCAAGAAGCAACTTTTTCCTTTTCCTGTGGAGTCGGTGACATTGTAAACTCCCCGAACTTCCTATTTGATTGTAGTTGTAAGAGCTTGATGTTTAAAAACCAAACAAACAAAACCGAAAAAGCCCAACAGTTTGGTAAGTCCAAATGATTGGAGCTGCCCATGAAGCCCCCCCACAAGGCTGTACCAGGATACAAAGACAAAGTAGCAGCTGCTAAAAATATAACGAAAAATTCCCCTCATCCTCTGTTTATTCATGCTGTGCTACAAAGAAAGAGGATAAAGGAGCAGGGAGCATTTCCTATCGTGTACCCCACACTGGAGTAGCACGATCCCATGCGTTTCTCGGCTGTGCTTCACAACAAAGACCTTCAAACTCATTTTCAATAAAAGTAAAGGAAATAGAACAGTTCAGGCAGAACTTAGGTGAAACCCAGGTCTGTCTGTAATATGGCAGTCAACTTTTTATTTTTTGGGACTGTGATGGTGAGGAAGCTAAATAGAACTGTAGTTGGCTATACAAACCTTAATGCTCTAGCCTGCATTTTAGGCAAGGAATAGATCCTAGAAAACATGATTCATCAGTTTCCTGCCATTTATCAAATGATTAGGTATACTATTGGCAAAGCGTATGGCTCTGTGTTCTTGCTGCTTTTTCTGTAGCTAAAGGAATACCTGCTGTGTATCCTGTGCTACTTAGTGTAAAATGTTACAACTCTTGTGCACCTCAGGATTATTCTTCCATAATGAAATGTCTTTTTAAGAAACTGTATACTCGAAAGCTATAGTAAGCATCTGTTTTGCTAATACAGTTATACAAAAGAAATGCTACAGTGGAAGTCCAGTGCCATTTTAACTGGCCTTATTGTGTATGTGCGTACTGAGAAAGTAATTTGTGACACTTACCTGCTATTTTCAAACCACCCCCTTATTCAGATCAGTAGCTACAGATGGAATGGGGCTGGGCTGCTACCAGGAGGAAAGGGTATCCTTTGGTTTTCTGGGGAACTGCATGTTATTGGTGGCTCTGCACACTCTGTGAGCCTGAGCAACACAGGATAGCGCATGTCCAGGGACTGAATTAAGCCTGCATTGGCATTAAGGTTGTATTACTTCTCAGCTCTTGCATTTCTGACAGTGTGTCTTTGCACAAAGCTTATAATTTAGATTTGGAGATGTATGATGTAGACAAAACCACAGACTCAACGTTCAGCTATTTGGCTTGTATCTGCTTATAAAGTACATTGTTTTTGATGTGTCAAAAACAAAGCTGAAGAGTGATAGAGTATTGTTTCTGTAAATGATCGTGTATTGACTTTGTTACATATGAAAGCTCATTTTAAGCTAATTTTTTTTTAAACTGTAATAGAAATGTTCCTTCAGGTTTTCCCAGTAACTCATGTGAATTCACTGGGAATGCTCACAAAAAAAAGTACCTACCAAATAAAATGCTTCCAGGATTCATCAAGTTTTTTTAAATGTTGCTCAAGCCTGTGTTTTATGAGCAGGGATATCACTTGTGAACTGTGTACACATGACTTTGAGGAGGTGAAAAACAGAACACAGGGAATATGTTATTAAACTAAATTAATTTTTGAAGGATTTCTTGAAGATATTTCTGGGTTAATTGCAGGCTAAAACATCAGTGTCCTTAGGTAACTTTTGTTCCGCACAATTAATTTTCTGATAATAGTTGTTTTCTCTCTCCCTCAATAGGTATCCTCAGCTCGAGGTATCAATGCTTATGGAAATACCTCAGTGGTACAGATAGGTAATGTTTCAGGCTATATTGATACACCAGACCCACCAACGATTATCAGCTATTTGCCTGGGCTTCTGTACAAATTTAGCTGTAGCTATCCACTGGAGTACTTGGTTAACAATACCCAGCTTGCTTCGTAAGTATGCTTTTCATTAGTAATGTGTTTCATTCCCATGTTTGTGTAAACCCATATGTATGTGTATATATGCATATAAACCTAAATATATGCAAGCCATAGCAGTATTGTCAACATAGCAATTTTTAGCTGTGGAAGAGTAAAGGGAAAGGAAAAAGCACCGAACAAAGGTTCTGCAAAGGAAAAGAAAATTCTGTAGCATCATCACATGAGACAACATCGAACATGAACAGAGCCTTAGATAATGCAAAACTTCCCTTAAACTTCAGATGTTCTGATAACAAAATGGTAGCAGCAAAAAAAAAAAAGGAAATTCTTCATGAAATAGTTTGTAAGCATGTGACTATAGAGTGCAAGAGAAAATACGTCAATGAGTAAACCTTGTACATCATGAAAAGCGGGTTCCTTTTTGTCACTTTGCCTCTCTGCTAATTATTTTTCTGATTCATGTTTTCAACAGTATCCATTACTTTCTGCATAGTTAAGGTTCTGTCAGTGTTTCTACTATAAATTCCCACTTCTGAAGTTTATAACCCAAATGCATAAATTAACACCTTGTGACATGACTTGAATATTTTTAATGATAAAAAGCACCGAAGTATGTAAACACAAAAATAAGATATCTATCTTCATGATGGTTTTTGGTTTCTGGTTCTGTTGTAGGTCATCAGCTGCTATTTCTGTAAGAGAGAACAATGGTACATTTATCAGCACTTTGAATTTGTTGCTTTACAATGTGAGTATAAAGCAGAGTAGTATGACCTGGACTAAATCCATCTCTGCACTATGTGGGTGCAAACTGGATTGGCAGAGCAAAGTATAGACTCCTTTTCAGGGTTTGCTATTCCCTTCCCACTCCTCCTATGAAGAACCAGGCCTTTCATCTGGCCATCTTTCATCTCCGAGTTCCCTTGTCCTTTTCATTTGCGTGTACCTGTTGTCTTGTATTTATATGGCTGGTCTTTGAGGACACACAGTCTTTTTTTTTTATACTGTGTTTGTATGGTTTCTCAATTTACAACTCTGTCCTTCAGGTTGTAGTGCCATGCAAATAATCAGCTGTATTAATAATAATCACACTCCAAAGTGCATACTTGTGTTTGGGTTTATTATGTGTGTGCGTATTTCTGTGTATGTGTATCGGTATATTGTACTGATACAGAGGGTACTCTATAGAATTGTGTGAAACTATTCTAGACCTGTTCCCTTAGCAATAAACTGTAGCACGTTTGCTGGGGTATTTTATATTTAGCCGCCTCAGAGTGTTTTGATCATTCGTAACTGTAGTGAAGGATGTGGGATTTGTTCCAAATATATAGTCCAATGTATTTGTTGCCTCATTGTGTGGACTTTTGAGATTTTAAGGGTTAATTTTAATAGCTTTCAATTCACTTCTTCCATATGTTTTAGATAATTTAACTTGAATATGCATTATTGTAGAAGCTTTTACTATGTAAATACGGACAGTGACAGTAAAACATGAAAAATCCACGGACCTCTACTTAGTAACATTAATCCCTGAAATGATATTTGTGTTGATTAAAATTTTTATTCATACATTTTAAATACCTGATTTAAATATCAATTTTTCAATCTATCAAGCAATGTTTTTGTAAATTATGAATCCGATTTTTTGGCATTATTATTCATGCCATCGTGACTGAGTTATAATTCATGCAACTGATTTAAAAGTCAATGCTTTATGCTTTGAACATAATGAGCTATAAATATTATAACAGGACATTTTCCAAAGGCATGCTTAAAAAAAAAAAAAAATCACGTTTGTTTGACAGAGCAGAGCTCCAAATAACAACCTATAGTCTGTTAAAATGAAGACTATACTTTTCTCATTTTTAAATAAACCTGTGACCAAAAAGATGAGGCAGGGTGAGGGTAGCCAAAGTTCTCACCCAGGACAAGAGTTGACCACCACACTTGCTGCCTTTCAGGGCCCAGTTCTACACACAGGCAGGTTTAAATGCTATTGATGCTTGTGCTGAGCACATTTTTTCCCTCAAATACCGCATGCCAAGCTAGGCTTTCATCCTCCCTACCCCACTGAGTTTACAAGTCGACTGTGAACAGTGTTGTCTTATCCTTCTGATTTCAGTCATATTACTCGCTCTAGTGCACTAGCATGTATAATACTGCAAAGGCTGGCACATCCAACTCATGGATATGCTCTTCAGGTTCACATGCTAGGGCTGGGTGTATACACAGACAGCTTGTGCATTGCCTGCAGTCTGCCTGGTTGGAAGTGCCTCTTGGGACACCCGTGGTCTTGTGAGCTCTGATCCTGTGGGCTTACACAGTTTCTGTTAGAGAGTCCTGGTTTTGGGACGGGCCTTGAGGCTCCTGTCCACCCTTGGTATTGGCGAGGGGTTGTGTGCAGATGTGGCTTTTGACTGTGTGCAGACATACTGTCAAACTTGAGCGGTAGTGTTATTTCTGAATGTTGACTCTTCATCTTCTCAGCGTACTTCCATCTTCCCTCACAAGGTGACGTTTACACTTATTTTGTGGTGTTAGCATTGCGAAAGACAAGAGGATCCATTCTGATAGACTCAAAGAGTTTAATAGTAGAACATTTAATGAACTCTCACAGAGCCTAAGTGGCTATGTGCTTTTAGGAAAAAGGGCGGCTATGGTATGTAATAGTGGGGGACTTGCTGTAGAATTTTTAATCGTTGCAAAGTATGACAGAGCTATCTTTAGAGAAATGTATAATTAATTTAAAAGAAAGTAAACTTACCTGGTCTCACTTGAATGGATCTTCAAGGACTTGCTCTATGTATGTCAGAGAGCTGGTCTGCGTGTGAATGTGTGCCTTCCAAGGCCTCTGATGCTGCAGAGATTGAATCTTGGGCATGCTGTGAATTTTGGCATCGTTGCCTCTGAAAAAATACTTGATTTATGTGCTTAATCCTTCTCGTTGCTGTCAGCTGCTGCTCTTGATCTTGACTGCCACAGTGAACCTGGTCAAAATTCTGTTTAACAAATTTTTTTTCTTATGTATTGAGTGTTCTGACCTCTCACAAGGGGTCTCAGCATGCTGAGTCCCTGTGCTTTCTGGATTAGCAACCAATTTGACATAGGTGATGTTACCAGTAAGTGTATTTTGATATGCTGAATTAACGTCTGTCACTCAGATCTGTTTCATGGCATTGTTGCTAAAGTGACATTAATTGTTCTGCCTTTGAACGAGAAACTAATCAAACAGCTATATCTGTGTAGTAGTATATGGGGAATTCTGAACTTTTATGTTCTGTACAGCTGTCCTGAAACAGTATTTTTTAAATATTAGAATTTAAATGAAAATGTTTGTTACTTGGAGCCTTCAACAAGCCAACCTCCACAGAAACTACATTTTTGGATAATAGAATGTGTCTGTTCTCTCAGACTGCAGTTCAAGATGTATGAAACCTGGTGGCATTGCTATCTCCAGTAAATCAGGATAACCTTAATCTTTCCTGGGAAAGGGTGCACTGTGACAACCCAGTTAAGCTCCTCATTAGAAAACTGCAGTAGCTGCTATGTTTGCTTCTGGGCAGTTGGAGAGATATTGAGGTGTCAATGAATGATACCTCTTCTTTAAGCACTGATCCAACCACTTTATAAAATCATATGTTCCTCAAAATAGTTGCATTAGGATAAAGCCAGTCAAGTGGTGTTGATCTTTACAAAGTTGTAGGCAAGGGGTTTCTGCTTCTTCCCTTATGGAGGACAAAGTAAATGACTGTCCTGCATAGAAAGGTCAGAAGAACTAGATGGGAGTTCAGTCTGTGGATGCAGATTAGTTGTTACAGTGGGATTTCTGGTACACTGAGGCAATGTTTGTTTTTCAGGATTCAACCTACAGCCAGCAGCTCCTTATTCCAAGTACAGGTTTACCTTTGAAAACCAAAATATATGCAGCTGTAAGAGCAACCAACCTTGATGGCAGGTACCATAAAGGATGTTATTTCTTGTCTTGTTTGCTATTCAGCTCTCGGTGTTGCAAATTTTTCTGATTTGGAAGCAACTGTCTTTCCTCATAGCCTTTTGTATGTTAAAATAATGGTAGGTGTTTGATAATCATTGCCCTCAGCTGGAGGGTATCAGGTCCTTGATGGTGAATGCATAGCTTTTTCTGTCTTCATTATGAAAGTTTTCCTGAATTATACTTTAAATCCTATATTGCTGTTATTTAAGAAAGGGCCTCTGTAAAATCAAGTGAGAAATTACAGGGTTTTTAAAAGTGGAATGGTTTGGTTTCTAGACCTACTTGGCCATGACTTCTGAGAAGAGGTAGACAACTTCTGTATTGGTATGGCAGTTGATTTGCATGAAACTAAATGATTTTTTTTTTTGTATAGTTCTACTGATATAGTGTGTTGTTTAGTTTTCTTAGTCAGGAGAAGAAACAGGTGACATACTGGGAATGCAGGATGACTTGTACATGACCTGTTAAATACAGTAACTCAGCCTCAATGTAACAGCCTGCATTACCAGTTTGTACACTTGCCTGTACTGGTTTTAATCTTACCTCACTCACTCTCCACCCCTACTCTTACGTTGCCAGTTCCCTTCATCTGTCACTTTGCTCCCTGTACAGGTGGAATGTTTTGATGGACTACTGTTACACCACACCATCTGGTAATCCTAGCGATGATCTTCGATATGATCTTTTTTTCAGGTACGTCCTATGCAAACCCAGTGTTTTGTGGGTCCTTCCTTTAAAAAGCAGTTATAAATCTCTCCAACAATGGTGTTCTAAACTGTCTGGAAAGTCTAAGCAATATTAGCATGGAGGACCAAGGGCTGGGCTTACAGATAACGTGTCAGGACTTATCTTGTTTGTGAACACAAACATAGAAGCAAGTGCAAAGTCATAAGAATTATGAAGGTAGAGAAGCATATATCTAAAATGGCTCTATTAGAGATACCATAAACATCCAAACTGAATGGCTAAACAGGCCTTTGTTTTGCCAAAGGTACCATTCTAGTGAATGACAGTGATATAAAACATCATAGACTCCAGTTCAGGAAAACAGTTAAACAAGTGATTAAAGATAAATAGATGCTCCTGCTGCTACTCCCAGTGATAACATTTACTTGAATTGGAACTTTGAAAAACATCTTGGCAGTATCTCAGATTACATTTTATCGGTGACAGTTGCTGGAGAGATACTGTCTTCATTTGGAGTTACCTGTCTATAGCAGTTAGCATACCTGATTACTTTTGCTTCAGGTCTCGAGTTTCTTTGGGCACTGGAATTAAATGATACCTTGGTTACAGCTGTGATGTTGCAAAACAAAACATAATGGTTTTATAGGAATGCATTTCAGCACAGGATTGTGCAGCCTAACAGGCAGATTGTGGCTGCCCATGTTGGACATTAGGGCACTGTGTTCATTTCCAAAGAACTAAAGCACCGAACTTGCTGCTTAAGTTCTCTTATTCTCAGCTAAGAGCTTCTAAATGCTAATCATACAGCTGCTCATCCCAGTTTTAATCTTTTCTACAAAAACTAGCTGTGACAAGGACCCACAGACAACTATAATTGAAAATGGCAAGAGCCAAATGGGCCGGTTTTCCTTTGAGGTATTTCGCTTTGTGAAGCACAAGAACCAGAAGATGTCTACGGTCTTCCTTCACTGCGTGACAAAGCTGTGCAGAGCAGATGACTGTCCCTTTCTTGTGCCAGTAAGTTTCAGCAGACGGAAGCTGCTGTTAATTATTTGCATGTAAAATAGGCACACTGGAGTTATTCTGCATCCAAATGCGATGAAAGTTTGGATGAAACAGAATGAAGGTGACTTGTAGAGTCCGAAGTAAGAATGTTTTTTGTCTGAAGGAATGTAAAACAACTGATGAAGAATAGGGTAAATGAATACTGTCATTCGGAGATAGAATAATACTAAGCCTGCAAAACACAGGTTGTTGAACATGTCAGAAACGACCTCTTTGCCTTTTGGTCCTTAATTTGTTTTTTAAAGTAACAACTCTGAGACAGCTTCAGAGCTGATATTCTTACTATAACATCTAAGAAACAAGGTACCTACAATCACAGTGGATGAATATAAATACCTTAGTATAGAATTTATAGAAAACTTAAAGCTATAGTATGTTCAGTTATACTGACAAGGAAAATTTTAAACAGTTTGATAGTGAAAAAACCCAACTTACTACATCCTCTATAATTTGTTACTACCTCCCTTATAGTTTGCAAACTGCTGTTTTGAAGGTCATGAAGTTGTGTCAATTCAAAAATTATTTCATTTTAGGAGTATCAGGAACAACAAATATATTTTGGAAATTGAAACATTTAAATAAACATATAAACACAGAATATTCTGTGTTGATATCTTCAGAATGCAGTATTCTTTCCTGTTGAATGACTTTCCATTTAGAATTTTAAAATGCTATTAGTTCAGTATACTTCTGACATTTTGTACATTATTTCATACTTTTATGTTAAATGTTTAAATAATTAATTGTTTCTATTGAGAATTTATGTTGAGGTTTTTGAAGTTCTTTCATAAGGAGTTGAAATTAAAGAAATGGTCTTGGTTGAAGCAAACTTGAGTACCCAAGATTAAGGTAGATGCATTAGATGTTAAAGGTGGATTCCAGATGACAGAATGCTGGGTATTGTTTTAATGTGGGTCATTGCTATTTAGAACTCTGGAAAATGTGTGAACTTTAACTTGACAAGCTTGCTAGAATAGGGATTGTAGCATGTTGTCTGTCCCTAGTCAAGCAAAACATATTTGTTGGGGAAAACTGTCTGTAAACAAAGCTTTGGGAAATTAACTACTGAAAATTTAATATACTATAAGATGTATCTTGTACACAACAGCGATGTAGTTCTCTAAACGAAGTGAGGCAAAGCCAGGCATTTATAAGATATACTTCTAGGGAATGTTGCAGCTGTTTTTATTGCAAAGTAATTTAATGCATACTAAGAAATAAAATAAAAGTTGTAGTATTGCTTATAAAAGAGTTTACATTAAAACAGGAAGCACAGAAGGGAAATAATTCCATTCCACTCTGAAACTGTGATTATTTTGATTAACCGCTCAGATTTGCAGTAACAGAGAAAGAAGAGATGCTGGTGGGAGGACGACTTGGAGCCCTCAGAGCACCTCTGGCAATGCTGTAATCTCTGCTGGCCCCATCATTACAAGGAGTGGTAGGAACAAGCAAACTTTTTCTATGGACTGCTGGAATTTTAGAAACCTAGGGAAATGTTTTGCGGTTTAACATAAATTAGAGAAAGTGTGGATTCTCCATGAGTTTGATGGTTATTTATTTTTTTTTCCCTACTGTTGGAGTCTTCGGTAGAAATTTTGAGCTAATATTCTGTTCAGCTCACATGCTTCCTACCTACCCCAGTAAAATTGCTGTGGGATATTCATGCATATATGGCTATTATAAAAGCCCACACTCAGTGGGTAGACTTTTTTTTGGTCAGATTTGACTGAAGGTAATGGAATTTAAGGTACTGTGTTCAGTGTTGCAATTTAATTTGGACAGCTAATGAATATTCACTGTCACTTTCTATTCACCATTTCTTACAGCTTCACCTGTGGGTTTTTATCTGTGTTGCATAACATTAGTATATGTTATCTTTAGCCTTCAGCTATAAGAAAGAAATAGGACAAACACTGTAAATTCTAAACAGAGTGGGCCAAAATTTGCTCTCAAATCCAGGGTGAATTTCCATGACTTCCATTTTTATTGCCCAAGGTGTTTTAAAAAAAAAAAAAACAAAACACAAAAAAAACCCAAAAAACCCAAACCCAAAAAACCAAAAACACCAAAGAACCCCAACAAAAACAAACCAAAACAACTCTTACATGTAACCTACAGTCTCTAAAAAGAATTTGTGACTGTTGTTGACAAAATAATAAAAATAACATATTTGAAAAATGTTTAAGAAATTCCATTTGCAGTTAAGCAACTGATTTCAGCAGTCTTCGGTTTAGGAAGCTGAGAGCAGCACTGATTCCTGTCTGGCAAAATTAACTGAAACACTTGAGAATAAAATCCTTTATGTGCAAAGTGGTTGTGCCCACATGTACAAAGAGGAAAAACTGACCCTCCAGAATTGGGAACTATCTAGCAAGAGATTTTTAGAAAAAATACTCTGTTATAAGCAACATTTCTGCAATGAAAATGGGTATTTTTGTTCTGCATTATGTGTAGTCCCAACTGAGTTGTTATCTGATTAGTCAAGAAAAAGTGAAAAGGACTAACTTGAGTTGCATGCATGAGTACTTATGGGAAATGAATGACAGATTTGCTCAAACTTATATGCTAGAGAAATGCTGCCTTAGGCAAGGAATAGAAACTAGATAAAGCTTGTTATATGAGCAACCCTTATTAGGTAGTATAGCTTATGATTGAAATGCTGTGAATGCTATTTTTACAATTAAAAAAAAACCCTCATCAATTACCTTTAAATACTGCATAACTCCAAGCAAAGATTTGTCTGTGGGTATTTAATGACCCCAAAGAAAGGATAAATGATTTTATAATTTCTTGACAACTGATGAAGTTTTTCTAAATGAAAACATGAATAAAGCTGGAAAAGGAATAAAAAAAAATTTAGGTATCTTCTACTTGAGCTATGTGACTAATGATTTTTTTTATATTAGATGTATTTCTGCATCTCCATAGTATGCTTTTGGAGTACCCCACTCCTGCTGACAAAAGGATGATTTGATTGGAAGTACTCTGGAAAAAAAAAAGGGATTTGGTTCTGAAATCTGCCACAAATTTCCTGAGTGATATTGGGCAAGTCACTTAATCTGACTTGCACTTCATTTTTCCTTTTAGAGCAGAAAGAGGGAATTAGTATTTTGTCCCACTGCTCCTCCCTATTGTGAAAAAAAAATGCATTAAAACTGAGAGGTTAAGGAATACTATAGTCAAGGAAAGAAAAGCGGGAAAGTTGTGAGAGAACCTGAACAGAACTATCTTGTTTTGGACGAGGAATGCCAGGGTGCAGTGCTGGTTTACTATGGTGTGATGACGTATGGAGGCACTTATACTATTTTCAAGGCCAACTCTGGTCCAGCTTTAGTACAGACACATTTGTACAGAGACCATCAAACCTTCTGCACCTGACTCACCGTAGTATGCACCCCAGTATTAGGTCTGCAGTTGCACAGATGTGCAACCCCTTACTTCCCTCTTTTAGGTTGGTGTTGCATCTATTTTGCAGCTGTTCCTGCACGCATCGGTGTCTGCAGAGGTACCTTGAGTTAGCCAGGTCTCCCCATTACTCTAGTGACCAGTTGTTCTGGTAACAGAACCGTTTATGCTGTTACCTTGATAGGAACTGAATAGTGCTACCGCAAATGAGTAATGGTCCTTCTCCTATGTACTTTTGAACTCTTATTTCTAACATTTTGTTCTTTTCAGAGAAACTTTATTATTGTTTGCTAATCTAAAATAAGTCATTACAGGAGACATACACAGAAGAAAATTTTTTTTAGTCTCTGTGTATAGCAACAAAGCAGGTACCTACTTCTGAAGGTGAAATTGTGTAGCTTTTGATGGATGTCTCACTTAAACTTAGAAGACAGCTGCTCAAAACAAATGTATACGCGAGCTGTGCTTACAAGTTGCACAAAAAGCAAACACAGTGACAAGAACTGTAGTTCTGAGATGGACAGTGGTAAGTAAGTAAAAACTGAAGACAAAATACAAATGTTTCCCTCAATATAATGCAACCCATCAAGAGAAAAGTGAGCATGGGGAATGGGCATTTTTGTAAGCATTTATGGTCACTGAAGTGTTTTTCCTTGGAAAAACTCAGGTTAATTTTTTCTTATACAGATCTTCTTGTAATATGATTAACAGTGAAGGGACTTGTGTATAATAATGTGCTTATTGTTGTATTTTTATTGAGGAGCAGGATAGAACTGGCCACACTCAATTAAGAAATCAAGGTGTGTGGGTTTTTATTGTGTGGTGTGTTTTGGGTTTTTTTGCCACACAATACAAAGTAACTTCATATTGGTGTGCTTGCGTTAAAAACGAAGTAATGAGTAATTAATGTTGTTGTCCTTATTCTACTACAGATGTTAAAAGCTACTAGTCACTGTTGCAAGTATAGCTGATGTGCTTTGAAAATAAAGCTAGGACTATTGGCTTTTGTGTTGCAAGGAGGGGAGGAGGTAGGCAGAGGTAAATGTAAATTGTAATACATCCCGGTTTTGTTTTACACAGATGAGACGCCAACCAACAATTCACAGCTCGGTAAGTTAATCAGAATTCCAAGAAACATAAGAGGGTTTTGAGTGAAACAGAACTGAAGAGATGAACCATTTTGATTGAGCTTCATGCAATGGACCGTAATGTTTTTTCTTTTTGGCTTGTTTTTGTCATTTAAATGAGTGAATACTGACATGCTATAAAGGAAGCAATTGGTAACCTGGAATACTCAGTTTAATGTGTGTACCCAGCCCCACCAAGATAGCAACTTCTAATTCCTATGGTGGAATTGAAATGAAAATCTGCTGCTACGACACATGAGGGTGAGGGAACATTGCAACTGCCAGATGCAAAATCATACTTAAGCAGTAAAATCTGCTCATGCCAGGAGCAGATCAGCAAAATGGTTATTATGGTGCAGTCCAGCTCAGTTCACATCTTGAAGTCAGAAGAGCTCTGCTTCAGCTTCTATTGTCCTGGCATTTAACCACACACAAAGCCTATGGAGAAGCTGGGACAGAACTTATGGTCTCGTAGGGCAATGGAAGAAATAGGCTACAGGGAAGATCAGGTTTAGGGTGCTTCTCCTTTGGGCACTTGGAGGACTTATTTCAGCCTGTCTGTTACTGTTCTCCGCTGGTAACAAGGAGTAGCTAATGACTAAGAATGGATGGTCAAGGTAACCAAGCGGTCCATTGGGCCATTCCACCTCTTGCTTTTTCATAACAGAACTGAGTGGCACAAGCAACCTATCCTGTCCTCTGAATTCCAATACTATTTGTTGCCTTCTTTTATTAATTTAGATGACATAAAAAGCAGCTACCTTTCTTTCCTGGCATGGAAACAAAGTTTGCCCTGTAATAAATTGCTCCCTGGTGTGTTCCTACCAATGGAAATCATTAATAATGATAAAAAGCAAATCCTCCATTTGCTGCACACAGCTTGCTATGTTAATAGCTGCTACCTTTCCTTCTCATCCAACAAAAGCCACAGCACCTCTCTTTCCATCCCAGAACAACCACCTTTCCTGTGCCTGTTTCTGTCCCAGTGGAAAGTGTAGAGGGAGAGCAGGGTGGGATTACTACTGTAGTGGAGAGAAGACAAGTAAGGTCAGAAGGCAGCACAGCGTATAGTAGAGGAGGGCAACCTGATCAACAGAGCTGTCTTTTTTTTTGGCTTTGGTGAAGCAGGAGGGATTGATGATGAGGGCAGGTGGCTGCTTCTGCAGGGAGAATTCTGGTTTCCCATGTAGAAACTGTGTTGTTGTTTTGCCTCACTCTTCAGCACTGGTAATGGCAAACACACACAGGTGCTTTGGCTAGCACCTACCACTCAAATGTTGTTGGTTTTTGTCTCCTGCTGGAAAGAAGGTACAGGCTGGATGTGTGTATGCCAGTATCCAGGAGTTGGTCCATTACACTAAATAAGTAAATATGTTTCTGCTTCTACCTGAGGATTCATAAACATGTTAAGAAGCCTTCTGTGAAGGTGTACAGACAAGCTTAGAGTAGCCCAGATATCTGGTGCCAGATATGGCTGCTAAGGATTTATATACACTTTAAATTGAGATGGGGATATTGATATAATGGAAGAAATCCTTTCACTGACTTGATTAGGTGACAAATCCTTATACTTGATAGTTCTTGGACAATGATAGTCTTGCCTTAAATACCACAGGTGAAGGTTAGGCACTGGCATATGAGGGATTATGCCTTAGAAGTATCTTTACTGTCTTTATCCACCAGCACAATAGATATTGAAACAACTAATAACTGCTTTCTAAGTATACTGAGATAAGCTTTATCTAAGTAGGCAGATGCTCATTCTGAACTACAGTTTTAGTCTCTTCATTGTAATTATTCTGTATATAGTGTGCTGTAATGGAAAGACAGAAGTGTTTGGCACTGCTGAGAGATTGTAACTAGATCTTACCTGTGCATTTTTTGTTCTCCTTGCAGCTCATCCAAACGGACCTCCTTTCCAGCTGAACTCGGTCACCAGCGCACTGATTTCAGGCATTGTTGTCCTAGGAATCACAAGCATTTTCTTTTTTGTGTGTTCCCTAACTCTTCTGCACAGAAAGTGGCCCAACAGTTCAGTCTTGAGTGGCATCCGAAACCCAGTTTTCAACTGAAAGTGATGATTTACTTGCACTTTTTCTATGGGGTTGCCTTTCTTGTCCATGAAATATGATTCCATTAAAAGATAATATGAAGGCAACACTCCAGCTGTATCCAGCTTCTGTTCCAGCTAACCTGTATTTGTAGATTTGCTAGATGTTGTTGTGTAGGTTAGCAGCAGTGATGTTGGTTACAATCCTAGAAAATTATGAGAATCTCAATTGTGTTTGTGATCAGACTGCATGACATTATGCCCATGGGTGTGTTGACAATAGAGCTCATGTCTCCAGCTTCCCGGGAAGGTTTCAAAGCTGAAGATGCTGAAGGTGGGAAACTTTTCGAGTATGTTGTTCTTATACAAAACCTGACACATTCAGAAACATTCATAAGTTCATAAACACCTACTAAGATAAGAATCACTTCTATTTTGTCATGGTATTTTTCACAAATTTGAAAAAAACAATCGTGTCTCAGGAGGAACTTGTTTTTATCTCTCAACTAAAAATAACCCCAGTGAGACTTAAGTGACTTTTGCTTACTAGTCATTTGGAAACATTTCTTAGATATATCTTCCATTGAATTGTCGTGATATCATGTGAAGGACATAATTCGGCTGGGTATCTTTGAGTCAAATAGTTTAGGGCAAACTGCAGTTGGTCCTAGAGAACAATGCTGCAATTCTTGAGGTGGAAAAAACTTTTTCCAGAAAGATCCTTGAGTGAGAATCAGTAAGAGCTTTAAATCTAACTAATGTTCAGGAGAAAGTTACTTCTGCACAGAATTGCCCCATCTGCAGCCTTTAGTCAAATTCTAACCCTGGGAACAGCTCCAAGGGGAAAAAAGCATTTCTTCCCCCCCGACTCCTTGAACAAGTAATACCTGAACTTTCCTCATAGAAAATTATTTTTGGACCACAATTTGGCAGTGGAGTAAAACTCTCATTAGTATCCTAATTTGTAAGGGCCAGTTTTGCCCCATGAGTTTTGCATTTCTCAGATAAGGCTTTCCTTTCTACGTGAAGAGTTTATAAATCAATGCTTATTTCTTTAGCAGATTTTCTGCATGGATTAGACTTCTTCACTGCATGGATGAGGGCAACTAGAAGGATAACAGGCCACAAGCAGTACCGTACTGTTGACTCTAGTCACTGTTAAACATCAGATTTATCTGAAGTGAGTGTGAGTGACCAGGTGCCCTCAAACAGGAGAACAGGGCAGTGGCATAGCTGTGTAGAATAGACAGAAATGCTGGTATTAGTGAGGCCACTGTAGGCATAAGATATATTAAGCTGGACTGGATAGACAGTTGGGATTTTGGTCACACATACAGCAGTTAAATTTCATTTTTCATGTACTGTACATATTGGCCTAGAAACACCTCATTGATATTTATCACCATCCTGTGTTAACCACGTCTGTGTTTTCATTGATGTGACAACTGGCTAATGATCAGGGCTGTTTGGCTCTCAAGACTAAAGACAAATACAGCCTTGTTCTCAGTTTTCTCTGGTTCTGCAAATGCTGTATAAAGGCCTGTTGTTCACAAAGTCTGCTGTGCTGTAGTGTGGTATCCCTAACAACCAATACTGTGCCTGTTTTCCTCCAGTCTTAATACCTCAGAAACATTTTTGCACTTCAGGGGTTAGGTCTGATGACATGTAAAACGTGATTGTTTAATAAAATTATTTTAAACATTTCAGAGTGGATGCTTTGTCTGAACTGTCTTCCTCCCCCTGTCAAATTGTTTTGTACATGCTTTCAGTGACCTCATTCTACACAGATGAAAACTGGACATGCTTTTTAAGTGAGTTTGGTAAGTGCTTTCAATATATAGGATAAATTAATATGAGTATAACTTTACTGGCCTTTAAAGGAGGATGATAAACTCTGGAGATTTATATCCCAGTCTGGGGATAAATAAATTCAGATAATCTATTTTAATTTACTCATAAAAACAACCACAGAAATTCCATTAATGTAATTACTACTTCATAACCAGCAGCTTTAGCTGAAAGTTTTCAGTGATGGAGATAGCCATTACCATCCTTAGTAAATTGTTCCAACAGTTAATTGCTGTCTTTAGTACTTCTTAAAAGACTGTTTCTAATGTGAATGTGCCCAGCTTAATTTGCTAGCCTTTAGAAACTGTTGTGCCTTTGTCTGCTAGACTAAGGGATAAGCTTTTTCTAACAAATCTTGCATAATTTGGTTAAGACCACGGCAGGGGGTGAAAGGTGTTGCAAAAAACCCAAAGCCAACCAAACAAAAATCCCCTCAAAACCAAAACAACAACAAAAGCTGCTGATATAATACCATGCTTGTCCTATTTCAATTTCTCTGTATTTCTGGATAGACAGTTTGTTGCTTTTATATAGAGAAAAGTAATTTACAGTAATTAACAAGGACTTGTTGATCAAACTTTTTGAGGCTTAGGTAGCATATAAAAATGGAATTGTTATCCAATAATGCAATATGCAAGATGTTTTTCTTATATTAGTTAAGATTTCTGTATTGGTTTGTTTTTGTGAAATAACAGACAAGATTAAGTTCTTTGTGTAACTTTTCCTTATGTGAAAATTATAAGTTACCAAAGGCTGATCCCACACCACTTAGTCATTGGAGTTCCCACAGTTATCTGTAGGAGTCATTACAGAGCTTGCTATGGACTGAATGCATTTGTCTTCATCATTCATTAAATGAGATAAATACCTGTTCTTCCTTGGTAAAGCAACATGGAGAATTGCAGGTGGAAAATGATGTCTAAACCCAGGCTTATTCATTTGCAGATCTGACCTCACAAGTTTCAAGAAATGGGTTAGGTAGAAGTTGGGTGAGTGTGTGTGAAGGTTACACCCTGCTTTTTGAAGGGCAGGATGTTAGATAAGGGGGAATGGATTGAAAACATAATTTATATACCATGGGCAGGGACTTCTGGCACTCGAGATACCAAGTTTTAAACAGAGCAGTGAATTAAGAAGACACTTTGTACTGTGGATGAAGGAACTCTGGCCAGATACATAATGGGGGTCTCACAGGTGTTAAGTGAAACCGAATTACTAAAAGAATAGTGGCTCTGCTAATAAAATCACTTTTATTAGGGATGCCCATTACATGTGTTTAAATGGTCTTTTTGGACAGAGGTTAGATTTCTGCAGGTAAGGACAGCGTACTAAGACATTCTCAGGTCTGTGACCAAGACTAGGGGGCAGACAGGAAAGAAACTGAGCAAGACTGTAAGCTTAGGTCTAAATCCAGTAGAACTTAATAAATCTATAAAGAGGTGAAAACACTTCCTGGGTTCCTGTCTTTGGAAGAAATAAATGACATATCCAACTGGAGCTATGCACACCAGTGCTCGGGATAAATTCAGCTGGTATTTGAGAAACAGGCCTTGGCAAGGGGAACCTGGAAGTAAATCACATTTCCCACTTCATTTGGCAGGCAGTATTTCTTGCTCTTGATATCTCTTAGGCTCCACAAATATGCCAGAAGAAGCAGCCTTGTCCTGTTAAGCTACTCATCTCTTCATCTGGAGGAGACACAGGCAGGAGTATCGTGGTAAGCTAGGAAACATTCCAAGTGTGGCAAATCGGTCCTTCCTTGGGTTACTCCCAGGTTTTATTTCAGTGCCACTTGGATCTTTCCCATGCCTTTTAGGAAGAAAGAGGTAGGATGGAGGTTGAAGAGACTCTGAGCTCTGCACATCATCAGTGGCTGGACTGGCTGTTTGATACACTGGCGCTTTCAGGGTTCTCTCATGGCTCTTTGCCATAATGTCACTTTTGAAAAGCTTTTACAACTTTTCTGTTATTAACTAGTTAGTTAACTCTTTCCTAACCTTTAAAAGAATATGCTTGTACAATAAGGAAGCATATCCTGGAGATAGTGAAATTGAAAATGTAAGGCAGAAAAGTTGTTCATTTAAATGACTTATCTTGTGAAGAAGGTAAACTAATTGTTGTTGGCAAACTGATGAGGGTTGCTGGCCAGACAGGTTTCAAATGCTGACATTACATTTATAGCCTTTGCTTTTGGACTTCATGGTGTAGTGTGGAAAAAGTACTTTGTGCTAAAGCAGGATCCACACTGGTCCTTGTAACCAAGAAATACCATTTAGCAATAACTCGAATGTTTTGAGAGTTCACTTGCAATCCCCTAGTAAAAGGGGAAATCTTCAGTGCTTTGTGCTGATAAGCTGGTGATGGTATAGACAGAGAGTCTCCTAGCCTCAGCAGGCACCAGTTCTCTGTTTACATCCTGAACTGGCTTGCTTATGTTTAGACTCCAGGTCTCCAAGGTGCATTTATCAAACTTGCTTGTTTTGCTTAAACAAAATAAAAAAGGGCTTGCTTCAGCATGCTTTCAACCCCTTTCCCTGGACTGGAGAACGAATTGGGAGAAGTCCTGTGTTCTTGCCAGCAGCGCACTGTATTTCCTATCAGGATGGAGAGGCTCAATGTCCATTACAGGTACTCTTCAGAGTGGGTGAGGCCATATCTGGTCTTGTGACTGTTTTCCCCCTGGTGCTTTAATTCTTTGTCTCTTGAGTCAAGCTGAGGTCTGCCTCTGTTAAGTTAATCCTATTATTCCTAGCAGGTGGTAACATCTGTCTGCTCAGCAGCTGTTTTGAGGGACAGGCATAGTTTTAGTATTTTTTAAAAAAAGGTTTTTTTTTTTTTACCTTATGAAGGGGAATTAGTGAACAGGATTGATCACTGTGATTACAGGTTACTTTATATAGCACATATTCCTGATTTATTTTTTCCTCTCTCAATTGTAGTGAATAAAAATAATGATCCTGTTAATTCTAATGTTAATTGCAAATGAATATAAAGGCAAAAGTTCAGTGTGGGATCTGTACTGGATGATTCATTTGGTGCATATGAGTGTGCACATTCGCCAGGTGAGTGTTCTGCACAGGCTTGCATTGATTCTGGAGCCCATGAGTTGCCAGGAGGCAAGTACTGGCCCTGTACTCACAGTTGCTATCTCACTTGCAGAGTCAAACCCTGCCA